AAAAACGTTTGCGTTCATGCGCGTTTGAAAAGGTATGCGCGAGACGACGTGTGCCCACCCTCTCTGTACTTGCCTACGTGCAAGCAAACGCCGCCCGGTAACTTTATGGAAATCTCCCGCGGGGAATTTTGCGCCTTAAATTACGCGTGATAAATTGTTGTCGGAATTGTAATACGCGCGTTGCGCGCCGCTTGTCTCTCTCGCGCAAATACTGTGTTCCAGCGAGTCGGCGCGGGAACACGATTCGGTCGGCGATTTCCCGCCGCCGGTCGAGACACGAAATGATTTAAATAATAATGAAAATGTCGCGCTTTAGTAATGAGGAAAATATCGTTGAGAAATAACCGCGCTCGCGTTGAGTACGTCACAATTTATTTCGATCGTCGCGAGAAAATATTTCCGTTACACCTGAAGCGTGTTTGTAGTCTAAAACAATAATTTAAAAAACTTTCACATATTATTTTAAAAAAGCCGAAACTCTGCGGGAAAATATTATGAACACGCGTTACGGAAAGAAGAAAAATAATTTCGAAATGATCTCTCGGAAAGAAACGAGGAACAGAAAGGAAAAACATTGTCGCAAACAAGATACGTACAATATATCTCATATTTTCTGTACGTCTGATGCCTTCGAGTGAACTCATTTTCATTTTCGTACGCCGAGCGTGATATCGCGATTGTTATGATAACAACGACAGAACTCTAAGGCGATTTGGAAAAGACTTTTGTGTGCATGACACACTTTTTCCTTTCGTGAAACCTACTCCGTAGAAGCCAGCGCGAAGTGGGTTTCCATTATACGCCACGTATTATTATTTAGCAGATACGCGCTGGAAGAATCCAGAAAAGTATCTTCTCAGTGACGTGTATCGTGCAATCAAAGCCCCAGTGAAATTAAATGGATTCGGAATTTCATTCTGAAAATGAAAATACAAGAGTGTCGTATTTTGTTGTTATTGTTATTGTTTTTTATTTAATTAAACGGCGTTAAATTTTACAGCATAGACAATTCAGGTAGGAGAACATCTTCCGACTGCCTAAATTCAATTGCCATCACAACAATTTGTGTCACTAGAGATAGAGAGAGAGAGAGAGTAACTTCCTACGTAATAAAGGTTTATTTTTAGGGGCTAGTATGTCAGGTTGGATTAACACGCTCTCAACGTGTGCAATAAATTACCATACCGATTATCGTGTCACACCATCGTGTAAACCCCATTGACATTGGCGGTGGCGGACCCGTTATCGGACCGCTAAATGCGGATGTGTTATACGGGCACGTTATTCCAAATTTGGTCGAACATTTGCACGGCTAAATTTACGTGAACTTACAATAAATTTAGGAATCTAGGACGAGCAAGAAAATTGGCGGATCTCGGGTCTCGGCCTTCGTTCTTTCTTGCGGTTTATCGGATTCCGAAAGAGAAAAAGAGAGGAATAATCGATTATTAATCGCGTCTCACGGAAAGATTCCGTCACAACACTAAAAAATTAACATCTTCAATTTTACAAATTTCACGATTCTTACCACGCGATTGATCGATTCCTAGTTCTCGAAATCGACAAGGTCGAACGGGGAAAAACAATTTGGCGAATATTTTATATGTAAGGATTGCTTGTGCAGTGTTATTGATTTGAAAAAAATCGAATGGAGAACGTAACAAAAGGCTACTTCAATCATATTAAAAATTAATTTAACATTATTTATTCATTCGTTCAGAAACAATAATCCGAGGTTGATAAGCTGCATGACTGGATTTATAAGTATATTAGTGGAAGAAAAAAATAGTAAAAATCCATTGTGTTCTTGTTAAAATATTCTTTGTTTTTTTTTTTTTTTGCGCAACGTGTATTTAACGAATTATAATCACATTTAATTATAGAATATCCCGACCTGATTTTTAAGTAATAGCATGCAACATTTTTTGAAGAACAAACTCCCTCTCTTTCTCTCTCGTACGTGTGTTCAGGATTAAGAACGCTTTTAATATTTGATTCGCTGTTGTTTTTTAATTCGCTTATTTCGAGGAGAATTGGGTTAGAAGACATGCACTTTTGGATAATCGACTTTAAAGCTTGAAACAATATTCTCCGCAAAATTTAGTACTTACGTTCTTGAAAGGCTGCTTGAGCTTAAAATATAATTTCTAGAGCATCGCAGGAAACCTCCGTTGTTATTTTGCAATTACACTTTTTTTTTCCTTTACTGCGCATCTTCAATTTCACGCTCTTGGCTTGTTTTTTTTTTTTTTTTTTTTATGTCAACTTCGTTTTCGAACAACAGCGCTTCACATTTCGTGTCGTTGCGCATTAACTAATGAACGAACGTTTAAATAAATGTCATTGAGAAAAACGCGCCTTGAACGTTCAGACTTGCCGTCGGTACCTAAGAAACGACTGGAAAAATAGATATCATCGAGACAGTTGTATCAGTATTAATGTTACTGCAAGAGTAATGTGACTTTGATAAGACAATTGTAACCTCTATCGATTCTTATATATATATTTATATATAAATTCATTCTTCGAACTTTGGTCTCTTGTTAAATCGATTTGCGATTTTCCTTCGTATTCGCTCGCGTAAATGATAAATGAAACACGAAGGATTTGAAAAAAAAGCAGCACATTAGGAATGATTTATGATATAAATTAAATTAAGCTCGTTTGTTTATTCAAGTATCCGTCATTCGCTTCAACGATTTAGAGCTACTCGTACAATCGAAACAAAAAATAAATAAATAACGAGAGGATTACACAGGTCGAAGGAACTAAGGGTGTGTTGAAACACTTAAATACTCTCGTTTAATCAAAACAATATAAATCATTTAAAATACAAAACGTTTCGGTATCTGCAATATTTTCAGTCAGTTCGCTTATATAAATCAAAAATAATGTAAAAAATGAATTGCAAATCGGTTTAAGATATTTTTTCGAATCGCGACTATCGCGAAAATAAATCACAAATCCGTAGAACATGTCAAATACAGCTTTGGTAAACGTATATATATACGTATGAAATTTTGCAAAAAGAGTTCATTTCTTGCATCACTTTATCGCACCCGTCTTCAATCAGGCCATGCGTCATCGCGTAAACAAAAATATATATCGTTACAACTCGCGATGACTTCGATGGGATGACGAAACCAGAACACATCTCCCGCTGAAAAGGGACGCGACGTTTCTGGATTGTTCGCGTGCGAGAGAGTTTCTCCTTATCCAGAATTCTCACTTTGAAGTGCTTTCCGCGCTCGTGGACGAGTTTCGCGAACAAGCTCTCTCGCAGTTTGCGACGCATTGTCCGCTATCAGAGCGCCGGCCAGTTTCGCGAATAGTTTGTGCTTCTCGCGAAGCCATCCAGCGAATAATCAACACTCAAAATACGCACCGAGTTGATGGAAAGAGGAGAGTTTGTGGTCTCAACGTGTTGGCATCTTGTTAACCGGTCACAGAGGATTGAATTAATTTCGACGATGCGATTGAAAAGCAGCAAGAATAATTTTATAAACTTTTAGATTTAGGCTTTTTTAGCAAGTTGACGTAAAACTATTACGGCGATGCGTGAATTGTTCGAAAAATGCGCGGAGACTCGAGTTACGATCGAGAAAGGTTCAGAAATCACGATGCGCAATGCGAATCAATTTTATTTTTGTAAAAATTCAAGTTCGTTTCGCGGAGGCCCCGAAAAAAAGATCCACAAAAGGTTATCAGTTTAGAATGACATTTCCAACGGGGTGATTAAGCGCGTAGATAAGAATGACATCTAACAAAATTGTTGTTTTGTAAATTTCCGTTATTTTCGAAAACTATTTCTGAAGATTATCGGAGATGCGAGAGGAGGATCAGATAGAGTGTAGCGAGGCAATAAAGTTCTTTACGCGTTGCCATGTGATTATATATCACATATTCTACATTATTAATCACACAGTTTACAAAGTCCATCGTGGCAACTAAGCACTTAGCTTACAAAAAAAAGAAAAAGAAATCACGCTGGTTTTTTTGTTTTTTTTTTTTTTTTTAAATTTTTTTTTATATTTAAACCGGTTATTTTTGATGCGTGTTACGTTCTGCAATTGTAATTCGTGACTTTGATCCCACATCGTTTGTGCGCATTTATTTACATTTTGCATTTGTGTTACGCCGACGATAATACCTACTAGCAAACGCGTGGCTGTAACGAAACTAATTACGATTGCACGTGTCTGACACTAATAGCTACTTAGGATCAGGAACTTATCTACGGAATCGCCATAAATTAAACGCTGTATCAGTTACCGCTACCTTCTCGGGCATAAATATTAATTTTTAATTGCAAACTCTCTAATACGAAAAAGAATGCCATTAACAGGATACAAGAAATTATTCAGACGCTTGGTTGAAAATCACGAGGAAGATGTGCACCTTTTGTTTTAACGTGATTTTGCCTGCACAAATGTAACACACATAGTCTCTGCGCCGAAAGAAAAGAAATGACTGCACTATAATCTTATTACAACTAATATAATGAAAAAAGACGTCACAAAATGTATTATTCCACGTCCCTCTTCGTCACATCTCTACATCAGATCGCAAACCCTAACTGCGTAAGAATATCGTAAAAGTTCTGACGTTGCCTTGCACCACTTAGTGATTGGCAGATTTTGGACCAATAATCGGCGACTCAAATAGATAGTCTCTGACATTGAAAAAAACTCGCCGAACAAAAATGTCTATTCAGTTCGTATCCTTTAACCGACGTGAGTCATAGGTGTAGAGCTACGTCAAATTTCGAAGACTTCAAATCGATATTTTTGTATTGCAATTTTGCAACTGTACATCGTAATAACATTTGTACGTCGAGAATCAATTTTGTGCTCCTGGTATTTGAAAACTAGGACTCCGTCGTACGCACAGGTGAAAATCATTATTTCATAATTTATTTATTATATGTTAACTGATTGTTTTATTCAAGAATTTCGATTCAATATTTTATTTTTATTCAAACATTATGATTTTTATTTTACCTTACGTGTGTGCTTTTATGTGCTGCGTGTTGCAGCAATGATGCGTTGCCTTATTGGTCTAATATAATTCGCTGGGGTTACATTTACGTGGAGTTCCGATGTTCGATGATACGGAGAGGCTACGTGTTCTCCCGGCAAAATGTTACGTCGCATTTTGAATATTTTATCTTCGGTTTCAGATTCTGAAAAAAAGAAATCATAATTTTGATTCTTAATGTTACGTATTTTCAATGTTCTGCAGTTTGATGAGAACTTTTTCTCAAAAACTTTATTTTCGATCTTTATGGACAAGTTCCACCAACTACTGACATTTTATTCACAAAATGTATATTTTTTTAAGTTCTTCATGATCTTTTTTAAGTTACGCGACTTTGAATCTAAACCTGCAGATTTTTGATAGAGCATTATTTTCTAAGAAAATAATGTTTAAATCCATTGAATTTCTGATGTTTTAACTTTTTATATTTTTTAAATTTGTATTCTCTTTCAAATTTAATTCTATAAAATACTGATGAAGATCTCATATCAAGGATGGAAAAATTTATCATTTCCTGAAGACTAAGGTCAAAAAAAAAATGGCACTACAAAACAACGAGTAACATTAGACTCATATTGACCCTCGATGTAACTGTTGTAATTTTTCACGGTTTTATATTTTCGTTTATTTCGTCTGTTTAAAAAGTTTTCGAACGTGAGCGAATATTGTAAAGAGTTGAATTCTTCGAGATTGAAATTGATCTTGAAAGCAGTTGTCTAAACTTTCGTAACTTGTCGAGAGACTCGAGAACGTTAATTCGTGGTCGGTCGAGGCAATTTTATTTCCGCCAAGGTGCAACGAATACACCCGCGCGTTTGATCAAAAAACAAAGAAAAAACAGATATATCTCTGCGCGCGCGAAAGAGAGAAAAATAACAGAGTAAGAGAGAGAGAGAGAGAGAGAGAACACTGTGCGTGCATCGCGAGTTTATCTGCGCGTGATAAAGCCACTATCATGCCGTTTTCGCCGCTCACTGTGTCACCGTTCGGTAAACAAAGAGAGAGGATGCGCAAACGACACGACGTAAACGCAGAGCAGCAACAGCGGCACGTGCTACGTAAACTTCGCCCTTCGAGCTCGCACTTTAATCTCGAGAGTATCGTCCACCTTTCCGCTCGCGTTACAGCACGCGCGCGGCGCACGCGTTATGACGGACAAACAAGTTTTTTTCTTGTTTTTTTTTTTTTTTTAATATAACACGCGTTGATGTAAGAGACGAGTATGTGTATGTTTCGTCAATCAAGTTCCTCAGCAATTTTCTCGACGTTTGGTTTTTCTCTCTGACTCTTGTCGTTTTTTTTCCCGCTCGACAGATCGCGCGATACGTGTGTCTCTCACCGCACCGCGCTTCTGTTTTCGCAGAAACGCGACTGGCAACATCTCGGCGGGAGAAAAACGATTATCATTTCATGGGAACGCAGTGACATTGTGGCATTTATCGACGTTGAGCGGTAGTTGCAGCGCCGCTGCAACATTTGAGCGCGAGAAAACGCAAAACACACACTTAAGCGCGCTCTTTTATTGCGATGCGATGCAAATAGAGCGCGATTATTTCTTTATTCTTTTTTTTGTTTTTTTTGAGTAACTTCTCTGTTTCCGTGCTCTCGCACAGCGATGTTAGAGCAGATGTGTTCCGACGTTGAATATTTATGAAGTACGTACGTAAACTAATTGTAAGTAGTGCGGTCTATTCTATTGCGATCCGCATGCAAATCGCACACAGATCGTGAACATTTTTATCGTTTCTTATTTTTTTTTTTTTGCGTCTTTTAATCTCGGAAGATACTTACGTATCTGCGCTGGTTGTGTCACGTAACGATATGTAGGCTATCGAGCGCGATTATTAACAACATTAATTGAAATATCTAACATGTCCGGTCGATTTGAAATAAACGTCTTAAATTTCTGTTTGCGAACTGTTTGGATGATTAAAACACATTGATACGAAAATAAGAACGAATAACAGTTGAAAAAAAAAACACGTTCTAATGAACTCGTTTTGTTGCAATGATTAGTATCTAAGAGGAAAGTCCGGGAATTTGTCGCGCGCAATAACAAATAGAAATCGCGCGTCGGCGGGACACTCGCGATCGATATAGCAAATACGTAAGATTGTACATGTTTTTTCTATCTACAACATATACGGAGAAGGGACGGGGGAGGGGCGGCAGATATGCGCGTGTGTACGAGCGAGATTTTTACATTTGCTTCACTTCGTATTTACGTCAACAACCGAGAGCTAAAAATTACAAAATACTTGAAGAAATACAGAGACGTAAAACTCTCTCCTTTTATTTACAAAAATATTTTTCAATGTTTTTTGCGCGCGGTTGTTTTTCTTATCGTGTACGTACTCTGACGTTATATGCTCGCTGTAACGAGCGAGACTATCTCTTACATACGCGCGGTTATGTTTTTTTTTTTTTGCCAAACGTTCCAAATCGCGGAATATAATAACAAAAATACGTCGCGCTTTCGCGATTCGAGAGTATCTCATTATAGAGCTTTAATGTCGCTTGTTTTCCCGCGAGCGGTCGCGACGTTTCGCACGATGCACACGTCGTTGTCATCGCCGCCGCCGCCGCCGCCGCCGCCACGTTGCTGCCTTCCTTTGCCGATGCATCCCGCCGATGTTCTTGCGAGAACAACTGCGGGCCGCGAAACCGTTACACCGAAGCGTTCGTTATTCCTATATGCAAGATCCTACGCGCAAACATCATCCGGAATCGGAGGGGGGAAGGAAATCGTGTAGCCGGATAAACTACAGTCTCTTCTTAACGGTAGGCGCGCGCTCGTTAGCTCGAAAGACAAACACGCGCGCCGAGCGCTTAACGGATCCTCGAAAAAAAAAAAAAAAAAGACTGAACTTCGAAATAAACGCATTCTCTCTCTTGCTCCGCGACTGTTGTTGATGCAACAGTTACCTCGGCTGCGTTTCCCGTTATTATGTCATGTTATCAGAATCGCGCCAGACCGGCGGCGTCGAGAGAGCTCGCGATCGTGATTGAAGTTATTCCCGCGCGAAAGAATTTTCGCACAACGCTGACGCGCCGATATTTTAACATTGACGAAGATAGCGGTAATTAATTAGAAGATTAAAAGATGTGTCTATCACGCGTATACGTATATGTATTATATCATATCTGTCTTATGCAAACGAACAGTGATTTTTCCTGGATATTGATTCCGGGTAAATGTCAAACTAGATAATTGTGACATTGATTTAAAACGTGCGAGTGGGACGTACATCGCGCGCGATGAAAAAATATGTATATTAATCATAACTGTCGTGAGATCGTTAAGAAACGATAATAATAATGCTGATGAATATAATACCGAGGATTTTATTGTCGATTAGCGCCGCGTTTTATGACAAATATATTTCGCAAAGGTGCAAATTTCACCGAGTACTTAGCGAAATTGAGTGACTGTGAGACGCCGCGTTGTATGCATCTCGTTATATTTCCGTTGCGCAAACGTGAAGTGACGGGAACTTCGAGAAAGTTCTTCAAGAAAAGTCCTTTTATCGCGGGGGAGAAAGAGAAACAGAAATATAATTTCGAAAACTTGATTGAAAAAAAAAAAAATAACGAATGAAGATTTTTGCCGTACAAGAGAAATAAATTTAATGAGAATCTAGTGTTTGCGAAGCAAAAACAAGTCGAGCTCGCAAACTTGTCTGTGACATGATGCAACCGATCAAGCCGTCTCTCGACGGCTACGGTCGCGCGCGCTACGATACACAGCTGTATGCAGATGCTTCTATTACGTGAATTATAACAGTACCTCACGAAAGAGAGAGAGAGAGAGTGAGAGAAAGAACGGCGAGAGACCGTTCATTGGCGATGCTAATGCACCACGACGAGCGTAACAAACCTTTGGATAATGCGATCGACAGATCGTTCGATCGTGCAGAAACGAGAGCGGTTGCTGTCTGTACACAAATTAAAGACGGTGAGCAATATCTCTTCGAGAATGATGTCATAAGTCGAAGCTTCTGGTTTTTGTGTTTTTTTTCTTTTTTTTTTTGCGTTAATAAATGCAGCTTATATAATCCGAACGTCGTGTGCTATGTATCTCTCGCGAGATCTAAGCTCTCCAATAATATAGAGATATAATATTCACACGCGGTGAGAGAGAGACAGACAGGACAGCAGAACTTGCTCCATGCATTTCTAAATCCTATCCGTAGACATTTGAAGATGTTTGGAAGAAAAACAGGAGGAAAAAAAAAAAGATTTTGGCAGACGTGTTTCAACAAGTAAAAACGGATTTGTAAAATCTCAGAAAATTTTCGAATAATTTCAGTAGATTTCTAAAAGTGGAGGTGAATATAGTTCCTCTATACTTTTAACCTCAAAGAAAACTAGTTTCTCATATAAAGAAACGGACGTCGAAATTCGTCCAAAATTTGTGGAAAAAATGATCATGGGTCGAAAAAAAAGCACAGGTTTTAAGAAAGATGCCTATTGTAATCAGTTGAATGAGAAACATTCAACAAAAAGAATTTTGTCGAAGGAAAATTTTTCAAAGAATCATCTTGATCTGCACTACAAATATATATGTCTGGAAAAAAAACGTTAGTTTTTTATAGAAACCTGAGAGAAATCCGAATACCGAAATCTCCAGATAAAATTCATCACGACTTTAAGGACAAGCAAAAACAAAAAAAAAAGAAAACACGTATAGCATACTTACATGTCTTATCATTAGTACTTAAAATTTCTACTTGCACAAAAAAGTATAATAACTGTAATTAGTATTAATCTCTCTCTCTCTCTTTCCACAAAGGTTTCAGAATATCGTTGATGATGCGAAGCTTTACTTTCCCACGACCTGCGAGGCATGTGTTTCTAAAGTCGAACAAGTATTTTCACATTATTATTATCATTATTATCATCATCCGGAGAAAGTATACGATACACCGCCGGGCATTATTTGATTACATATGAAATTCCGTTGTGGCTTTATATGCGCGCGCGATCCGTGTGCGGTAAAACAAAAAAAGAATCTATTTGAAAATCGCGGTCGTTTCTTACTTCAAAAAAAAAAAAAAACGATATTTCTCACAATTCACAATATATACTTTTTCTCTCACACAAAGACATATGCTTTGCAATAATCTGTAACAAGTTTTCCTTGAAAAAGTTGTCCGTCTCTCCCGTTTAGCGCCTATTCTCGTTTCGTTATTCGCATTGTCGTTCTATCGCTACCCGGATAAACGTCGCTGTAATCGACAAATTATCGCGAACGAGTTGCCGCGCTCGACCTTCAATAATGCATGTCTCTCTGGCCTTCCTCCCTTCCTCCCTCCCTTCCTTCCTTCCTCCGCACGCTCCGGTCGTTACCTCTCGACTCGAATTAACATTCTGACAATTCTCCGTCAGCATGTTGATCGACGTGGCCGCTGTTTTTCCCGAACGAAATGGAATTACCGGGCGACGGGACGGAAAATTTAAAGTGACCGCATGTTTTTTTTTTGTCAAAAAATTAATTTTCGCGGCACATCTCTATCAGTTCTTTTTCGCCTTCTTTTCTTTTTTTTCTCCCACGCGCACGTTTTAAAACTGTTTGTAGAAAATTACACGAGTGTGACAGAACGAACGCGAAACGGCGACCCCTTCCCGTCCTCGAGACGAGTGCTGGAAGGGAGTGAATTTTGCATTGATTTCTTCCAGTCGGATATGTTTTTGTTTTCTTCTTGTTTGTTTTATTTTGTTTGTTTGTTTGTTTTTTTTTTTGTTTGATAGAAATTAAAAATGCTTCGTATAAACTGACATTTTGTAAAATATACACTTCAAAGAGAAATGCAGCCACGCATTGAATTATATATGAAATTACATTTCTCGGCGTAATTGAGTCTTGAAGCGCCTTACCCCCCTTTGTCGGTCGAGTGCATTTTTTTTTCTCGTTAACTAAATGCTTCTTTCTGTTCTTTAACGTTCTCTCGTTTTCGAACAACATGTGCGCTTTAAGACCGCATTACGAACTGTTAAAGATAGATCTCTTTCTGGTGCAACACAAAACGTTGTTGCAAAGAGCGCGCGCGTTTCAGAGTGCAAACGAAATGTCAAGGATGATCGCGGTACATTCGGAACACTCGGATTTGCGGCATCTTCTCAATTGGTCGTAATCGGTTTACGTTATCGGTTACATCGTGAACTATTCCTGGCGACGAAATTACGCGAAAGAGACCGCGATAAGGAAAACGATGGCGACGACAGGCGCCTGTCGATATCTCGTTCGCGCGGATCTCAGTCACTTTCGATATTTATGTTAATCGATGCAATTCGAGAAGTGACTTAATTTCTGTTTATTCGAGACCTGATTGGCGCATCAATACACAATACACAACGGCGGTTTTCGACAAGCAGTTTGTTTAGACACACAATATCTCTTTCCAAAAATGATTAAAAAATTAGTATTATATTTTCGATAATAATGTGTGCATGTTGTCGCACATTGGAAGATCATTGGCCGCAAATCCAAAACGCAAACTTTAACTATTGTTATATTTTACTTTTGGCTGTTCTTCTTCTGCTGCTGTGTTGCTTCCTTTTTCCCTATTCTTTCTCTGCTCGACAAAAAATTTTCGAAATTTTTCGGTAGACTCGCAATTGTGTCGAAACCTCAAAATCGTCTTTTGTAAAAAGAATCGTCTTTCCGAGAAAGAACCGTGTGTGCGTCATCGACATGGGTCCGGGAAAAAAAAACAGTTTTTTATTACCACACATTCGGCGGAATTTACAACTGGGGAAGGCAGTCATATTTTTTTGCGCGACATTTTTTACACAGAAATATTTTTGACATATCACCCTGAAAAATCGCGTAAAACGATGTCGGTCTTTTCGATCGTAATACGCTGACAGAATTGATGCAAAATAAGCGCGTATTGACGTTCTCTTTCATCGCGCGGTCTGAACGAACTAATCTATTCGGTCAATTGTGCCGGGTTCGCCCGGTCTAATACATCTTTCCGATCGAGGTTTATGTCGCGTCCAAACATGACTCGATCGTATCGCGCGATCGATCATCTCTCCGCGGTTCTCGATTCACAACGTTGGGAACCACGTGAATAAAACGCGCCTTTTTGATTTTTATGTTTCAGAGAAGTGAACAGAAAGTGATCAGGGTTGCGAGGAGGAGCGTCGGCCGCGAGCCGAAGGCTCGTCCTTGTCCTCGAAACTTCGAGCTGTGGTTTATGTGTGAAGATCGGAAGAAACGTACCGTACGTAAAACAGCCGGTCATCAGTGGTGCAGGTCGGTTTAATCCAGGGACGCAATCGAACACTTAGTAAGTATTGTGAATGGCGACTTCAAGGAAGCGACCGCGTGTGTTAGAATTGTAAGGCGCAAGTGTTTGTCGTCCTGCTGAGCGTGTGCTTACGACCGTCATTGTTATTTGCAATTTCTCCGTCCGTTCGTAAATTTTACATTGCCACGGCTAACTATTATAAAGTGACTTTTCAACGTTTTTTTTTCTTTTCCTTTTCCTTTCGAAATGAAAAAACGACACACGAGTCGAAACTATTTCGGAATCGATTTCAAAAAGTTACGTAATACAACTACCTATTCTGATCTTCGTTCCGTTTAACCTCGTAATGTGTTTCTTATCAGTTCACATGTTTCGCGATATATATATAAAGTAAATTTTTACATCTGTAAACAAAAATACAACACATTTATACAACAACATATTATGATACAACACATTTATTTTATTTTCTTGTACTAATTGCACTAGTTCACAGTCTGTCTTGTTCCTTCTGATATGGATTAAAAAAGATAGAGACTGTGAAAACTATAGAGTGCATCCAGTGCAGAAAATAAAACAAATCTCTTGTAACACATTACGAGATATGTGACATATTACAACACATAGTTTGTGTATTATTCTGTCACGCTGCAGGACAGCGCGAACTAACCTATATTTTATTTATAAATATATTTGTATACGTAAACACATATTTTTATTCTGTTCGATTAAATATTCATAAATATATATATTTATCTATAAATACAGTTTTATTATTTAATCGAACAGAGGATGTATCCACAACACGCAAATGAATATTTATTCAATCTGACTGATAACTTGATAATAGAATTCGATGATACTTCTCTTGATGAGAAGTGGAAAATTATAGACACGTTAACAATAAGTTGTTAATCGAATCCTCTTTCGCGGGATACTCTCTGACATCCGGTTCTCTCTTGATTTTGCAGACGTTGGCGGGGTGCAAAAGGAGAAAAAAGAAGCGGGTGACGAAAGTACGGCGAAGCGGAAGTGAACGCGATCGTGGCTCGTAGGAATTCACAGCGCCGCCGGTGCGCATGTTTCAGCTAAGAGGCTCAGGAGCAGCAACAACAATCCCGCCCGCTGCATCATCATCTCAATCCGCCACCAACATGTTCCCGCAACAATACTGTCTGCGATGGAAGTATCATCACAGCAACCTGCAAACAATGTTCTCACAGCTGCTCGAGCGGCAAGCCTACTGCGATGTCACGCTGGCTTGCGAGGGCAAGACGTTACGAGCACACAAGGTAAACAGAGCAGAGCGTCACGATGACATCATCCGCTGATGTCAATGACTTCTCGCGCGTATCTCTCGTTGCTTTAAACCCTCCAGCTGTTAAGAAAAAAGCTCGCGGCAGTCCGTTTACCGATAATTTTCCTTATTAAGGAAACGACTGTTGCAATCGGATTTTTTTTTTGTTTTGTTTTTTTTTTCTCCAAGTACCCCCGACATTACGCGCGTATTAACAGTCATTAACTTTATTGATAACAAAGTATCGACGCGCAAACCTTCTCTTCCGTATTACTTTCGTACACACGTAGTTATAATCGCTTTCCGTTGAGATTAGTTTACGCACACACACGTCGCAACGGATGATTTTTTATCTTCGGTGTAATCAGAAATAGGCGCATTAGAAGGACGATTATAGCAATTTGCTGTGACGAATACGCATGGCGGCGAACACACATAGCCGCGCGCTTTCTACGCGTATACATACGTACACACACATATATATACACACACACACATATATATACATATATATATATATATATATATATATATATGAAAGTCGACGATATAAGAAGTTCCACTACACGAAATAGAGAAATTAGTCGCGAGTGATTCAGGATACGCGGAAACTCGATTTCCGGAATTTCGCTGTAACGTGAAATTGGATTTATGACTGAAACTCGATAAGTGGAATTTCGCAATTCGATTTACGGGAAATATATAATAAAATTGCCATTTTCCTCGATATTTCATCTCGAATCCGGCTCGAAGCGGGCTGCAGTCCCTCGCTACATCGCGGGGAGTTATCTTGTCAATTTTCAATTAAAATAATCGAGTCGATATAAGCTCCGGCGGCGAGAGAAAGAGAGAGGGAGAGAGTAGTGCGCCACGGTGCGCTACGTTCTATATACTTTTGCGTGTGCGCGCGACGACGACGACGACGACGGCGACGGCGACGGCGACGAAACGAGCTACGTCATCGTCGTCGCCACTAATTAGAAACCACGTCGTCCTTGTTGACTTCGACATCGTCAAAACTCGGTTATCGTGACGAAATGTCTAACTCGGTTTTCGGTAACGCGGCGAAACAAAGACTAAATTTGTAACCACCGCCGTCGCCAACTTCTCGTGTCTCTGAAATTTTCGTCTCTACTCGGAACTCCATTTCGAGAGCACCGCGGAATGACGCTTTCATCGTACGTATTGTATACAGCAGTACGTAGAAGCGGCGTTCCGTGCGAATCAGCCGCTCTCTTTCGAAAAAAAAATCGCCGAACTCTTTCCAAAATTGCCACCCAGGTCGGATATAGTATATATATATATATATATACTATATCCGACGCGTAGGTGCATATACTTCGTATATTTCGCGGTGTACTTCGCGTATTAGGCTCCGTTTCAAAAGAGCCGCCGCAATTTCGGAAAGTGGCATTCTTCCCGATTCTACATAGCGCGCAGTTCTCTCTCTATCTCTTCCTCTCTCCTACGGACTTCTCCACTAACAAATTACGCCGTTTCTCGGGTCTTTGATGTGTACCAAGATAACATCTTTTTCCGCTCCCCTACGGGGATTCTTTTCATCCACGTGCGCGTGTATTCTTTAATTATTATAAAGGGAGATTATATATATATTTTTTTTTTTTTTTTTAACACACGTATATAATCTACGTTTCGCATCTTATATTGAAGGAGACTTGAGTTTGAATATCGGATCACGTAAAACATCCTGACGCGTATTAGCTCAGTATCAACAAACTCTGTCGCGCGTACGTTATTATCGGCTACATTGCATCTTTGTCCTTTTGAGAGATAAACAAGAGCCTTTATTATCCACGCTTGTTAGATTCGTTTACTTTTATGTTTAATCTTGTATTGTTCTTAAAACGGAGTAATAACGGGAACACACAATCTGTCGATTATCAAACACCGATCTGCATCTATTTGACAGAAGAAGTAAAATATAAAGTAGGCTCTCTCTAATTTGTCGTGACGTTTTACAATTTTCGAAAAAAAAAAAAACTTTTTTAAAGCATTTTTTTACTTTAGTTTCAACTTCACGCAGTTCACTTTTGCAAAATATTATATACCCGCGAGTTATTTTGTTCATACTTTTGGCAGTTCTCACATAGTTCCGGGACAATTCTGATTTTAAACTGGTTCGCGCTTTCTCAACTATCTTCGAATTTTTAATCTCGCCGCCACCGCCGCATTTTCTCGTGTAAAAAGCACAGAGCTGATTCCATGTTACGTCATTTTGTGATAGTTTCCGAAATTTTCCGACGCAATGTCGTAGTAGAATTAATTTACACTCATCCACATCGAAGTTCTAGCAATTGTGCGTGTAGCAATCTCTCTCTCTCTCTCTCTCTTTCTCTTTCTCTTCCTTCCTGTTTCTATTTTCGCAAACAAGATCGCAGTCAGCACGCGGCTTATCTCGATTCTTAATTATTAAATTGTGTAATTATACGTCAATTCGCTCTTGATAAGCTCATCAAAGTTGGGTGACGCCAATGTACACGTGTGTACGTAACACGTCAAATGCAGAAGCTCGAGGAAACCGTAAGTAAGGGGAGAGAGCGCACCGTCACTATTATCAACTCTCCCCTCGGCTTGATGGAGACGATCCCGACTTCTGATAATTAGATTCTATTCCCAACCAAAAAACCCGGACGATCTGTAGCAGACGACGAATGCAATCCCGTCCGGTTTCTACGGACCCGAAGACTCTTGCTCTTTTTTCGCGTACACGTGTCTCTCTCCCGTTCGCCCCGCGTCCGCGCTCTTCTCTACCTTTCCGACCCTTCTGCCGCGGTGGGGTTCTCTCCACTTTCACTTCTCTCGCTTCCCAGACCTCTTCCTCTCTTTCTTTCTCTTTCGCGTTTTTTTTTTTTTTTTTT